TAATTCTCCACTAGACAACCGGGCAACATGAGGAGTAAATAGACTAGCCCGGAGCGGTTTTTACTAGACATTGTACGCCGGGCTAGTACTAAATCGAGCCCTGAGTACTGTACTAAAATCCTCTGGAAGAATATATTCATCTAGTATATAAAAGAAACTTGCATAAATTTGTTCACTCTAATGCACTTTTACGGAGCCAGTGGGTGGGGGCCTATCAAGAATAAAAACAAAATTCGTTGGAGAGAATAACAAATTCTAAGTAGTTTTTACAGTATATGAGAATCGGTTAAATAAGCCTCTAAATTGTGAAAGTTTCTGGCTTGCCCTGGCCCCGCTCACTTTTACAATCTTCAGGGGAAATCGCCCTTCCCGGAGGGAACATCACAACCCCCCACCCCCACCTACCATCAATTAAACCTAACAATTGAATAGGATATGTTATTAATGGTCAGGAATACGTGAATGTATAACAATATGCAAAAATTATGTATACACTGTAATTGTTTGGGCCTTTGCAACAATATCCAAGGAGCTGAACTTACGCCTCCTCCGTGTTGCTTTAAAAGTTCATCATGTACATTAAGCTTGGTTTCCATACAATCGCTACACTGTCGCTACAGTTACAGTTGCACTGCGTAGCGGTCCCCGATGCAATCGAGAACGCTTCTTGATTCAACTGACCAATCAGCGTCGCCAAAGGAGTCAGCGATAGTGTGTAGCGAGTCTTATGGAAGTTAGGCTTATCTGAGCAAGCACATTTAAACTTGGTTACACAAAAATAAATTAAAGCATAACTATTGACTATTAGAAAACCTGATGAATTTCTTCCAAGATATTTATTTTGTATTAAGTTTCAAATAGAAATTGACAACTATAAAAATGTCCTACCCTTTATTAGGTTGAATTCTTCAACCTCTGTTTTATTGGAATCTGATAAGTTTTAATCTGAAATGAGCAATTTAAATTGTATTTGACAAAAATGTGTGACATGCATATGTTCATGATGACATCACATCACATCGTGACCATATATGGGCATTAATATATTAATGCTTGCAGTACACCATGTAGATAGTTCAGAAAAGAAATGTTGTTTGTTGAGAATGTCATGACGTTTCGATTGAGTTGCTTCAATATGGATACATCATGACTATATATGGACATGCAACAGTTTTTTTGTCAAAGAAAAATTGATAATGTGGACAGTGTTTAACATTAGCATAAAGCTATGTTCACATCAAGCACCTGAATACGGTCCACAGCCCGGACAAGAAATCGTGAGTTGTTATTTTTATTTTAACACTGCATTCACATCGTGCACGGAACACGGTTATTCGGGGTCAAGTACGTATGCGTTTGATTATTTCGAACCAACCAAGCTTCTAGCTGATTGGTCTAACGAAAAAAAAATGTACGATTTCACGATAGAAATGGCTCTCAGATCCATAGCTCCAGATTCGGATCCAGGATATGTTGTGAACATAGCTTAAATGTTTCCGATACATAACCACCTACAAAGCTGCAGCTTGTTATCCAACTAGACATATTCAACAAATTTGTTTCAAAAATAATATCATATACTATAACATAGTGTGTAAATCTTCAATATTCTCAGAATAATTTGCAAGATGGGAATAAAAAAAAAAACGTAATCTACAAAATAATTTCTTAATGCAAATGAGAATTTATACTTTAGACTGCAATAACAGTTCTTACATCTCTTATGTATTCTGGAAGATAGAATAACAACAACCACATAAAAATTTGTCTGTAATTCATTCATTGGCATTATGTTGTCGATACCTTGACGTCTCAATTATGCAAATTAGGTCAAGTAATGACTTAAAATGGCTCTTTGAATCCACCATTACTGCCATAGAGATTTGCATTCGTTTAATTTGGAAACAAACCAAGAACACGTCCTACACGTTTACCAAATGCGGCAACATTTTGCTCTTTCTGGATTTTCTCTAGTTTTCTCGGAGTTAAAAACAACATGCCGATTCCCCAAGGTGTTGAATCCAAAAATCCAGGCTGATCCATTACCCACAATGCCTCAGCTGCAGATGACCTCAATTTGGTGACAAGTGCTTTAGTGACATTTTTACAACAGTTCAAATGGTACACTAGTGGGTTTTCAATAAACAACGGAAAACGAGAGTCGTTGTGGAATACTGAGCCATGCCGTACAGATAGTCCTTGGTTACCAAAATCAAATTTTGTACAGAAAACAAAAAATTCATGGAGTAGGTCGGCTGAAAAAAAAAAGAAGAAAAATATCATCAACTGTCACTTAGCAATATGCCATTTCATATTTTCACATGCACATATCTGTGTCAAAGTTCAATGGATATAAAGCCTGTGTCAAAGTTCAATGGATACAAAACATAAATGTTATAATATTACCTAAATTTTTACAAAGCATTACTAATTACAGCCTATTCTAATGATACTGTACTCTAAAAATAAATTGCAAGATTTTGTCTTTATATGTCTTTACCTGTGACATAGGTATGTGAAGTTGAAACTACAAGCTGGATTATTAAAACCTATCAATGGTACAGTAAGCAACCTCATCCAGATACAGATATGACAAAATTAATTATATTTTATATTGGAAGAATCATGGTAATCATTAATATAATAATTGAAAAGACAAAAATAATGCAAAGAATGATAGAGAGTAATGGAATAGCCAAGCTGTTGAAAAATACCCACTCGACTCTAAAGGAAGTAGAAGCAGCTGTCACAGAGACATATATAATTAATTAATGGTTATGAAAAATATTATAATACCGTAGGCCTACCACTCTAATAAATAATGTCAAGACATAATAATTATAGTAATGACGTAAGATTTACATATTAAAAGGGAATATCATTTCTATAATCAAGTAAATAAAATAATAGTCATAATTGATGATAATAATTTTAAAAATAGTAATTATAAGACTAGTATATCAACAGCAATAATAACAATAATTATACCTGTAATATCAACACAAATAATAATATCATAACTACAATTATAACAATTATAATAACAATAAAAATTATACTATAAATAAATTATTGAAAATAATAATTGTAATAACAATAATAAAAATAATAAAATAATAACAATAACAATTAACAATAAAAATAGTAACAATACAAATAATAATAAAAATAGCAATAACAATAATAATATTAATAACAGAATAATAATAATAATAATAATGGATGATAATAATTTAAATGAGTGCTTTACAGATTAAGGAAAATGTCCTCATTTTTAAGACAGTCAAGAATGTACTCAATTTAATATTTGCTATTTTCTTTAATGAAGATTAAAATGGAATCTTAAATATTTTAACCAGCAATCTATCATTAGCCAAGTATTTGGGCATTTAATTTGCCATAGTAATGAAAAATTAAGCTACAATTCAACTGGCTCTGCCGCCCTTACCCCACGTGGTCCACCTTTACACACCACCCCTACCCCAACGGCAATCCTGGATATGGCCCTTGTATTCCTAACAATTGATGGAAAATGGATTAATTTCATTCCCCACATTCAACTCTCAGGTGCACATTCATATTACAAGAATATAATAAAGTGCATTATCATGGAAACAAGAAATTTAGCAAGCCTTTGACTCAAACTTATGACCTTTCAATTTGAAGCCCCAAGCCTTACTGTGCATTATATACTTACAAATAATAAACTGCACTATTACATACCAGAAATATATAGAAAATATTGAAATTGACATAAAATGCTTTCAACTCAGGGACATTACATTCACAATGTACATTAGGCTGAAGAAACGCTGACATACTTTGCCTGACTTTGCAGTGTGTCCTGTTTCACTACTTATTATAGAGAACATATATATTCGGATACAATTTCATGTGCAAAATCAGTTCCAATTATGTCAGAGATTGTTAGTATCTCCATAAAAGAGGTGAGGAAATTCAAAATGATCACAAAAAGTCTAATTACCTAAGCTTGTGTCATCTGCTTGATGTGGGAAACCTTTTAAATCAGGAAATGAATAGTCAATGTCGTCGAAAGATAAATCTGAAAAATAATAGGTATTAATTCAAATCTATCAAAAACTTTAAAGCAATATGGTAATTCAACTTCAGTGAACATAGAAATAATTTATATCTATGTTTTTGAAATATTATTTTTACTTTGATTTATTTATAGTATCACAGTGTTATTGTTTCAAATTGTGCAATTTAATGCAAACATGAGACACTGATATAATATCTCAATTTATATGTCTTTGCAGTACTTTTAGGTTTGTCAACTATTACATAACCAAAGGCATGGTGTATATGAAACAAATCATTTACACTGCATATTAATTTCATTGATTACACTATATATATACTGTCTCTTATACACATCTAGATGTGTATAAGAGACAGCACATAGGGTGTCTATAAAACGAAGAGGATCTACAATGATATAGCAATTTCAGAAAATTTTTTATTAAACTGTAAACAGCTTCCTCAAGTCTGTTCCCTTTGAACTATTGTTATCAAGATAAAATTTAACTGACTCAGTACAAGCATAATTTAAATGTTAAACATTCTACTGCTACTGCTTCTGCTACTTTTACTCTTACTGTTTAGTTTTTATTTCTACTGCTGCTACTACTACTACTTTTATACATTTTGAGTCAGTTTCCCATGCAAAGCACAAATTTTTCTTTTCATCATTTGATGGCAGATCTCGCGCTTTACGGTCCTGTGTCCACCCATGTCTTAAATTTCAATGAAGTATTTTGCTAATTTTACTCTTTTAATTTATTTTTTCTCTGTTTATATGAATTGTATAATATTTCAAAACATTCAATTCTTTTGCAATAAATTTATACTGAATCTTTAATCTTAAAAATATACAAAACAGCAGACAATAATGTTTGTCAAATCAAAGAGAAAGCAACGCAGGACACCATAAGAGATTACACTTCAAAGCACATGTTTCCTGGTTCGGATACTTGCTAATGCTGATCAAAGCTGCGTGTCCTTGGATAAGAGGCACCACTCTAATTAATTCATCTTTCTGAAGGGAAATTAAGCCGTTGGTTCTGTAAAAATTATGGTTCTGGGCACGAAAGTGCAGGATTTGGAAAATAGTAGAGGATTGTCTGTCAATGCAGTCTAATTTATTTCCTGTCAGTCTGTGCCGTGTTGAAGGTAATGGGGTTTACTAAAATAGTGATAGGCGCTATTGACAATCCAATAGATAAAATCAATTAAATTAAATTGAAATACTAAATCAAATTAGAGATGTTACCTGCGTTGATTAAATCCACCAGTTTTGGCAAGATTGGCACTCGCCTCGTTTGTAGGAATACAACAACAAGAAGTGTTAGAGGATAGTTGGTGATCCACTGCCCTGGATTTTTATTCGTGAGTCCATGATACCGACACCAATGTCGTATTAGAAACACTAGTGGTTGTACCCGTTTATCCAGTTTGCTGAAAATGTACAGCATTTCCGAGCTGTCAATAGCACCTCTGTAAAGAAAGAATTTAACAAATAAATTGTGAAAAATAAGGGGAAAAATGTGTCTGAAAATTCTTTTTAACTCAAAAATATGGTAACTAACTATAAAATGTGCAAAATAAATACAATTATTAACAATAGAAATAATAAATAGATAAAATTTATTAATTGATAACAATGTTAAATATCTTTATACATTTAGATTGTAAACTACCACCTTTATTACTGAAAAACCTGGCTATACCTTTGATCTTACTATGTTATTATGGTGTCTTTTAGAATCACATAATTTACTGAAAAAAACTCCAAATGTGAAAATAAATAACATTTGACCGAGGTCAAATCACAGTAATGTACATGCAAAGAATACTTTTTGTACCGTGGGAACAATTGTTTGCAGGAACTTTTCTAAGGAAACTAGTAGTTAGTAGGCCCAGTATCAAACACTTCAATACTCTTTATTGAGTCATTTTTTCGGGCTTATTAAATATGAAATAGCTTTAAATGTCTGCGCTCGACATCAACGGTACTACCCAGAAACTCTGGGCCTAGATCTGTCAATATCGTTTATTAATTGTACCGTAAAGTACACCAAACAAAGCAAGCATTCTTTATCGTCGTCTTCTCAATCTCTTCATAGCTACACTAAAGCACCATTATGATATACATTTACATAATTAGAATGATTTCTTGGCCTATCCATTTCGCGCAAAAAGGGTCAGTCACCTGTTAGGGCAACAAAACGGATGTTTTGATGCTGAAACACTGCATTGTTGTCCATAATTTTGCATGATGGGATAAAATATGTGGAGGGAATCTTAAGATAATTTATCAGAGAAATAATCAATGCTGTGGAAACACTGCCTTCAATATATTCATCTTCTCCACATTATAGATTACCAGTCATGTCGTCACAACACCAGGTGGTGCCCTTTACGCCTGAATGACTTCAAAATCTTAATGGTTTAGAATAGGTTTTCTGGAATAAGCATTTTAAAACCTAACAATTTACCATCAAAATGTACTAAAAACATGAAAAGCTTGCATTTTGCATTATATTAGTTATCGAACACACATTTAATCATCAATTAACATTTACAAAAAAAAATTAAGATACAACTTCTTAATAATTACGTTAGAAATTGGGATCAATGGTTTGTGAATTATGAGTAAAAGTTTTACTAATTACTCAGTTTCAGTTTAACATTTAGTGGCAGTATGCTGGTTCTGGGATGCCAAGCCTCAAATTTGTATTCTTTTGAAGAAGGCCTACTTACCGATTGTTTGCAGTAAGGTCACATGATAGTCCAAGGGCCTGATGCTTGAACTTGACCAGTGGACATGTTGCGTGTAGAATCTTCAGCACATTGGTACAATGCGGAACACACTTTTCAAGATATTTTGACAAAGTCCTAAGTGTGTTCTGCGTGGCTATACGTTCGTTGTCTGCAGAGCTTTGATCATATTCTACCTTGAATTTCTTAGCACTCTGTAGTAAATGATTAGAAGGTTAAATTTTATGTCAATTTAATATACAAAATAAAAAGGGCATCTTATAAGCCCTGAAGCTTTGTAAAACAATAATGAAATTGATACAGATAATGATAACGATGGCGATGACAATGATTACGATGACAATGGAAGTGCTGATGAGGATTCAATATCTGCAATTACACAGACATAACAATATAAAAAATGACGATGACGATGATGAAAATGGTGTTGATGGACGGATTTTTTCGATGTAAACACCAAGGATAACCCACAAAAGTTTGAAGAAGACTTATTTCCTGTGGGGTCCTTCTGGTGGTGATTGGGCAGTACACCAGGAGACAATCATCCATTCTTTTCCGAAGAGTGTACTGCGTTCTTTAACATGCACATGGGCCATAATGCACACAGGACCAACGGCTTAAACGTCTCACCCGAAAAGCAGTGCTATATTGTAACTTGGACTTCAGCCGTCCAGCTGAGACACAAGGAGAGCAGCGATGGAAATTGAACCGGGGACCTAGAGATCTCCACGGTTCAGCGCACACACAGTGGCTACCACTAGTTTAGCCGACTGAACTAAGCTGCTCTCTAAAATGTTGTGATGACAATGACGATGATGACAATGAAAACAATAACGATGATGGTGATGATAATGATGAAGATGCAGAAGATGATGATGATGATGTTGATGATGATGGTAACAATGGTGGTGATTAGAACACTGATGAGAATGATGATGCTGATGATAACGACGATGATGAATAAATTGGGAGAATTTTATGTGTTTTTCATTTAGTTTTTGTTAATTTGTTCATTTCATATAATTTATTCAATTGTAATTCGATCATTACACTTCACCTATTCTGCTACATTTTATTCAATTGTAATTTGATCATTACACTTCACCTTTTCTGCTACATTAACACTCATTTTATTCAGTGGCGGATTCAAAGGGGACCTCAGGAAGCCTGGGCCTCTCTAAATTATATATAAAAAAAAGAAAATTACATCCAATGTCTAGGAGTGCCATTTTCAGCCATCTAAAGATACCTTAATCATACAGTTTCTTATTCAGGTATACAGCAGTTTTGTATTTTCTGTTTTTTTGTGAGACAATGAAAACAATAACAATTTATAACAAAACTAAACTAAAAATCAACAAAAAGTAAATAGAAAGTAATAAAATTATTAAAAATTTGTCAACTACATAGTTTTATAATACATGATAAACCATTTTTTGTATTAATTCCATTACAACATATTATTTTAATTTAATAAGCTGCAGGATTATGCATACAATGTTTAAATAATGTGATAATAAAAAACTTATATTAATTAGTCTCTTGTCTTTGTTTTCATACAATGTTGTTTTAAAACTCACTTGCTCTGCTATGCACAATATTTGGATCAATGTCAATATTCCGCATTCCAAAATTATTGACCGCAGACGATCCAAATAGCAACACTTGAGATTACATTATTATCATTGTAATTAGTAATTAGAAAACAGCGTAGCACAGTCACTCAAGCTGGTCATACTAACTACTGTGTGTGCGCTGAACCAGAGATTTTAGGTCCCTGGCTCTACTTCATCAAGCTGCACTTTTTGCAAAATACTATAGTACAAAGAATTTAGTTAAGAGAAGTTTAAGCTGATGGTTATGAGTAAAACATGATCGATATGCATGTTAAAGAACACTGCAGTCTACAGAAAGTGCAAAGTAATATATATTGAAATAGTGTCAAAATATAGCACTAAGGGTTCCCCGTTTTGTGACTACCAGCCAAAAATTCCTAGGCATAAAATGAACCTTTTTTTATCCATTAGGCGAGATTTTAAATACCTTGTTTGCAAACTTATTTTTTTTAAAGATTGTTAGAGGAGGGCAGAAAAAAAATTAAAATAAAATTTTGTGTTCTTATTCTCGGTGGGGAAAATGAAAATAAAATTTTAATGGTTGTAAACAGTGTAGCAATAGAATGGTTAAATACTTTAAATTTATATAATTAGGAAGAAATATACATATTTTTGGAGATTTCAAGGCAGTGATAGGCATAGTAAAAATAAAGAAAAATTTTTCCGTGGCAGTGGGTGCTCTGATTGGCCAAATATAAAATTGGATTTTTATTCAAAATCATCATTATTAACAGGCGGCGTGTTCACTGAACAAGGTATAAAAAAAGTCTCGCCTTACTTCACAACTCACCTGCGCCACTGGAATCATACCGTGGCCAATCTTTGGATCGATAAACATATCAACATCACAATTTCGCTTTCCAAAATTATTGACCGATGACCCAAAAGGCAATACTTCACATTCTGGAAACATTTTGCGACAGGCATCTTCTATT